TTGTTGACTGAGCCAGGTATGGTGGCACATGCCTTTAATCCCAGCACTCTGGAGTCACAGGCAGGCAGATCTCTAAGAGTTTGAGGCCAGCCTGGTCTACATAGCCAGTTCTGGGCCAGTTGGGGCTACAGGGAGACCCTGTCTCAAAAACACTAAAAGTAAATAAATTCAAAAAGACAAAAATAAATAAATAGATAAATAAATAAATAAATAAATAAAGATTCTCTTTTAGCCGAGCTGCTTTGGGTGAAGTCCCCCACCTTAAAAAAGGCGTTAATGGGAAAAATTTCCACCAGAGGGCGCCAAACACCCAGAGATCCTGGGCTGGCTGGGTTTTTCTGGCGCGCCCCAGCCAACACCTGGCTTGGTGATTTGCCTGCCTCCGGGTGCCTTCCTCCGTGGCCTCTTTGCTAGTTTATGCCTTCCCTTTTCCTCTCCTTCGGTTTCTTATAGCGCAAAACAAAGTTGGTCTTTGGGTGTGTCTGGGTAACACCGACCACTTTACTTGTTTTCACAGTGATTTTTCTCCCAGTTGCGGTGCAACAGACTCTGGTTATTTATGCGCACGTCTGGATCCTAGCTGTATCTCAGGCCTGTCCCTTTTCTGTGAAAATCTTATCGATTTTCATTACGACACAGCGGAAACGCCAAAAAAATCGTATAAATCACCAAAATTTTCATAAGGGAGATCGAAGATTCGGCTCTCGGAGGATGTAGTCTGATCAACACAAGAGACCTGGTATGGAGGCTTCAAATAACAATGCTGCTTGTTACCAAAGAAAATACTGTTGCCGTCTTTCCGTCTTACAATAAAAGCCTGGACACTTCTTTAAAGACGCAAAAGCATCCGAAGGGTGGGCGGCCCCTGCGCCAGAGCTCCTGGTTAGATACTGTGGGGAGCGCGCACGCACGCATGGGCGTGTGTGTGTGTGTGTGTGTGTGTGTGTGTGTGTCTGTCTGTCTGTCTGTCTGTCTGTCTGTTTCTGTCTGCCTCCCGGTTCGACTAAGAAAAGCTTCCGAATAGCTCGAAACGCAGGGTTTACAGGGAGGTGAACTCGGAGTTCCTACCACGCCCCTACTCGGGCCTTCGTTTAAAAAAAAAAAAGATATAGTCACACCCATCAGGAAGCCAAATGCCAGTGCTTAATCACTCTGGAGGCACTGGCCAGGAGGTAACAAATCCCTGTGCCCTTAACACCCACAATTCTGCCTAGATGCCTGCCCTCCTCTCTCTTCCTCAACCCTCCTCCAAGACCTGAGCTCTTGGTAAAGGTAGGTGCGTTCATTTCACCTGTGGCACTGGCTGAGAAATTTCCAAACACTTCTCTCTTTGACCGCAGAGTCGTAAGCGTTCACTCCTAAGGTTTTTGCGCAAAACATAACCTCGTTGGAAAAAAGAATCTCCTGCAACACTAGCTGTGTGTGGCAAATTAAAGCAGGCTGGGTCCATCTTTGAGGATTTCTCTCTTTCTCCTTTATGGTGAGGAGGAAAAGAGTGAAGGCTCCGGATCGTCCTTAATTTTAAAGTGTACTAATAGTAGTAATTAACTGAACGGATATTAGTGGGGAGCCTATATTGTCCCTTCAATTTGTGTTATCTTTGTACTCATGGAGGTGGCATACCGGTAAGCCAGGGAGGAGACTGAGGGACTTATGGCTTTTACTTAATTTCTAATGATCTCCAATTCCAACTCCAGACTCCCGGGCTCAGAGAGAGGATAGTAAAGAGCAGAGGGCCCGGAAATCCACCCAATTGCCCTGCATCGAGTTTTGAGTCAATGAGTAGTTTTCAGCACCAAGGACAGAGCCCGCGGTTGGCTAGCATTTCCAAGGCATCCACCGAGGGTAACCTGGACAGTCCCTTCCCCGGCCGGGCGGAACTCCTCTTTCCTCCCCCTTGGCCATAACTGCGGTTTGTTTTGCTTAGTGGAGATTGGAGGGTGGAGCGTTTCACCCACCTCTTTTGTCCCCTCCTAAGATTTGGACTGATTTGGCTCTTCAGAAGTAATATTTGGAACCAATAATTTTATTTGCGTTTTTCACTCTTTTTAATCTTCATACTTCCGAGGGAGGATGCTTAAGGATGATGGGGGTGGAAAAAAGATATCCTCTCCAACAACTCGAACCCGGTGATGAGGGGTGGCCCGGAAGGGTGTGGTATCCGCCCATCTGTTTCGTTTGTTTTTGATCTAAGGATTAGCCCTTTGAAGAAATGGGAAGCTAGGCTCAAAGGCAAAGGAAGGAGGGGGCGAACAGGCCAACCCTGGAGCCCCTCTTCCTCCTCCAGGTGTTGGGAGTTGGGAGCCCCAGCAGCTTACTCCACCCTGCCTGCCAAGAACTACGTTCAGCAGTGACTGGGACTGGAAACAGGATTCTCCGCCCACAGTGCCCTTTCCCGGGAGGTTTAAAGACACTTGGCACATGTAGGGCCGAGGCTTTCCCGCAAAACAAAAAGAGCCGGTGGGAGGAGCGTTAGGCGGAGAAGAGGCGCCCCAACCCGCTTTCGGGGAGATTTTTTTTCGTTTTGTGTAAAATACAGTCTGTCAAGGTAAGAAACGTCAGTATTTTTTTTTTTTTTACTCCGTGTTTTTAGCTTTTAGGAAAGGTAGAGTCATGATTTTAGTTCATTTTAGCTTGGTCTTAAAGGTCTATCTTTTTTTTTTTTAAGTCTATCTTGAGTATTTAACTTATGATTTTTCTTTTAAAGTGCCGAACGTGGTGGCACACGCCTTTAGTCTCAGCATTCTAAGGCAGAGGCAGGTGGATCTCTATGAGACCGAGGCCAACCTGGTCTACATAGTGAGTTCCAGACCAGCCAGGGCAACATAGCAAGATCCTGTCTGAGAAAAAAAAAAAGTGCTCGCCCTTTAAAGGGCTGTCACCAGGTACAAGGACTAGGGAAGCACTGCTTGACCTTACATTCCTGCTTTCTTAAGTCAGATCGCAGGCCCCTCTGTTTGTGTACTTTAGAGATAGTCCCCAACTCACAACCTTATCCAGAACACCGCACTTAGTCCTGGCAGGCTGGAAAGGGTTAAAAGGCTGGTGCTGGAGCCGATTTCCAGCCAGAAAGCAGAAGACTCTGGAAATCATAATGGTTTCTTTAAGAGAGCTGGATTCTTCAGATAGTTATTATATTGTTGTTCCCATTTGATATTCAGAAGCTGAAAATATTGACATAAAGAAACCAATCAAACAGTACTGGGTGATTTGTATGTGTCCAAGTCTTTAAACACGCGTCTCTCAAACTGGAACATAATGACCAGCAGGTGGCAATAGATCACAATTTCTGAGAAGAAGCAAGGGCCTCAAACCCAGCTGTTAAAGGAAGCATGCCAGTCTGCATTTCACAAGCATCCCTGCCATTTTTTCACAAAGCAGGACCTTTTTAAGCACCAAGAAATGCGGTTTCTTTCTTTCCCACACAGCTATATAACAAAAGTAGCCCTAAGAAGCAATCCATTAGGGTAGAAATGGCTTCACTGCAAACCTGATGCCACCGAAATGACAGGCCTGGATTGGGATGTGAGAAAGGGGATTTATAATGCATAACTGCATTAGTGAAAGAGTATTGGACTAAAGACTAGACTTAGTAATATTTGATCCATTTCTTTTACTGTTTAAAATACCAGGCATTTAATCTCTTTTCAGACTTAGGTGTCTGGCATGGGTTGTGAAAAGGTTCTAGAATGTTCTGACTTGGTAGTGGAGAATCTAGTAACATAAACTTGAGGCTCAGGTCTGATTCCTTCCCAAATCTTGACCAGTTATTCAGAGCAGAAAACTGGAGTCTTCTGGAATTTTAATGTGAGGGGTTCATCCCAGCTCCCAAAGTCATCAGTCCATTTCATGTGAAAGATTTGAATTTAACAGCTCATTGGATTTACAGGAACCAGTACCATAGGTTTCTCCAACATAACAAGGATGGAATTCTGTCATACCTCCAGTTGGGAGGCCAAGGTCCCATTTTCTTTGGCAATAGTGATCCAGGGATCCTGTAGATCCATTTAAATTGAAACCTCTAGCAGTCCCTCAATATTAGGATTAAATGAGAATTATTATCTTCTTTCTGGGGTTCTAGACTCACTGTCTTAACTCTACAGTGACAAGCCACAGATGAGTTTTCAAAGTTCCTCTCTCTGGATCAGGAGAGCATACTACCCTCTTCACCCTCCCCTTGCTGTTGGGTTTGGCCAGATGATTTGCTTTGGACACTGGAATGGAGCTGATCTTAAAGTTCATGAGTTTTCAGGTCATCAGTATTATAGTCATATCTGATTACTATTCCCTTATACCCAGAAACTTAAGCAGAACCAAGGTGAGACTCAGGAAGTCCTGGTGTTGAGACAGATGAAGACGACCTAACTCTCCCTGAAGGTATTTGGCTAGAGGCTAAGCATTATTAAATTTCCTTGAAGCAAATGTTCATTTCATGTCAAATCTTTATTATAAGCACATTTTAATGTTTTTTTTTCATTTTAATACAACTGAAGCTGGGCTGCCCATTTTCCAGTGGATGGCCCTATACCCATGCAATACTGGCAGTACTAAGTGGGTCTGAAAAAGAGGGGCTGGAGAGATGGTTCAGCAGTTAAGAGCACTGGCTGTTCTTGCAGAGGACCTGGGTTTGAATTCCAGCACCTACATGGTGCCTAACAACTATCCATGTTGTTCCAGGGGATCCAACACCCCCTTCTGACCTCCGTGGGCATTGCACAACATAGGTGCACTTATGTACATGCAAGCAATATACTCATACATGTAAAAATAATAAATTACAAAATTATTTTTTAAAAGAGTGCATGAAGTTGGGAGGGAAAAGTGGTCTTGGAGGGTATTGGAGGGGTTGAAGGGGGCGGATTTGATTAAAACACATTATATTCATATAAGAAATTCTCAAACAAGAAATTTTTTTAATGAAAATAGATGATGGAAGCTGCCTTGCAGAAGAATTCTGGGACTTGATCAATAGTTCGGGCATCTTCCCCCTGTACCAGAGGGCAGCTAGAACAGAGTGTCTACTGCAGGGGCTAGAAATGGAGGTTGGATGGAACCTCTACTGTTGCTTCTATGGTTCGCAAGCCCACCACTTTACACAACTCAAGGCTGCTCAGAGACTCTGATCTGGACACAAATGACTGTGAGTGACTGGGGGAGACTTGAAACCAGTTGCAGATGCTCCAAGAAACTTTGTTCCACACTGTGACCTACCACAGTCTCCATGGCAGACAGTAAAGCTGTACCTTCTGCTTTGGGAGACTGCCTGTCACAGCAGCTTTCAGACACTGCGAAAAGACTCCAGGAGGCTGCACTTAAGCCACAATAGCTTCAGATGACCCTCAGACAATTCCACTCACAGTTAAAGCAGGCTGTCCCTGTGAAGTCCTCAGTGTAGTCAGGGAGGAATACCTTAACCACCTCGGGCAGTTGTAGCAGGCTCAGCATTCCCGCTGTAGACTATGTGGCTAAGCAGGGATTTTGTGATTAGCAGAGGTTCTATAAGTAGCTTTCCATTCACTCTGCTCTGAGTATGGGGGAGGAAGGATCTTGCTGTAGTGCACTGTCCATTTTGTGCTGTAGCCTAGGCCCAATAAAGCCTCCTTCGGATGTTTTATTGTCTATAGTGGTCCTTATCACAGGCAGATCAGGTGTTTGCTTAAGCCAGCTAGAAGGACAGTGATGTCTCTAGTTGTCATTTATTGAGGTGGAGAGTCTTAATAGGACCACATTTGGGGAAGAGTCTAGCGTTTAATTTAGGTCACTTTAAGGTGTCTATTATTAAAAATCCTCCAGTGGACATAAGAACTTGGATTGTTG